CCAAAGCCTCCAAGTTGTTTCTCATGAGCATTTGGAGTGAGGGGTGGGCTTGACAGAGTTGGCAGGAGGCATCATGATTGGGGGAAAGAACATGGAATCACATCGGCCTGGGTTCGATCCCAGCCCTACCCCTAGTTAGCTGTTTCCCTGGGCAATCGCTTCACCAGGTCTGTGCCTCAGTTTTCTCCTTAGCAAAGTGGAGAGAACACGACTCACCTCACTGTGAAGGTGAGGATGGAGTGAGATGAAGGGTGTGTGGAATTAGGCTCAGAACCTGCACATAGTGGGTGTCCAGTGGTGAGGAGAGGTGGATGTAGACTCTGGTGGCAAGAACCTCAGGGAGCCTGGGTAGCTCTTGGTCAGGGTTCTTCCTGGAAACCAGGCCTGGAACTGCGCTGGAGGCCCACCCCATTTGGCTGCTCTGGCTGCAAAGGTCTTAAGGTCATAGCAGCTTCTCCCAGCTTCTTTTTTCCCCAGGCAGCTTGCTGGGGAGGGAGTCTCCATGGCAACACTCAAGGACCACCTGTTGGAGGAATCAGGCTCTGGAGAAAAGTGACCTCCTTGCCTCATTCCCGCAGCCTCTGCTGAGGTTTTGAGGGGAAGTGGTCGGCCCACGTTGGAAACTCGGTCCAGATGGGCTGCTCTGCAGACCGAGTGAGGGTGGGCTGCCCAAGGGAGGTCATTTCCTGGGCCCAAGTGGTGACAATGCCTTTTTAGCAGCAGCCCTCAGCCCTGGTGCCTGATGGGAGTTGCCTCTGCCTCCTGGGCTGCCTCCAGAGTGCTCTCCCCTGAGAGGAGGCACTTGGCTCCTGGGTTAGAGAGCAAGGCTGATGGGATGGGGTGGGCAGGGGCCTGTGGGCTTAGGTGTCCGTGGACATTCTTGTCTGGAAGCAGCAGGGCCTCCTGAGAGAGAGGCTGTATTTGCCTCATTGTTTGCCTGTCTATCCCACGTCTTTTCTTGCATGGGGGTGGAGTGGGGTGTAGGAAGTGAGGAGGTGAGGAGGGGTGGGGAAGAGGGTGGGCTAAGGGAGGGGTCCAGAGTCTGAGCAGTGGGGCTGGCACAAAAGGGTGAGAAGAGAGGCATGTGACTGTGACATGACACCAGAAGTCCCTGTGAGTCCTCCACCCCACCCAGACCCACCTCAGGGATTCCTTCCTGACTTCCATGTTGGGCCTTGCCTTGTTCAGACAAGTCTTAACGTTTCTCTTTGCCTCAGTTTTGTTGTCTCTGAAGTGAACAATTATTGAAGTCAATTGCCTTATATGTGGTTGCCATGAGGAGGAATGAGCCAATTGTCAGGTCCTCATGACTTGTGACTGAGTAATTCCATTTCTAGGAATGTATTCTTTCTACCATACTTTGTGCGGTGGTGTTTATAATTGAGCGATATCAAAACAACTCAGGTGTCCAGTAACCAGGGATCAGGGAATGCCCCAGTAACTTGATAGATCTAAATCCAGGGATAATTGATGACCAGTCAAAAATCATCAGTGGGGAATGAACAGGGTAGAACCTTGTGGAAGGAGTGCATACCATGTATATCTCAGTTATCATCATATCTTCAGGACCTTGCAAAATGCTTTACAAACAGTAAGTCTTCAATAAGTATTTATTAAATTATTTCAACCATTTAAAAATTGTGTCCAAAGAAAACAGGGTTGGAAGAAACTATTCCAAAATGTTAACAGGGGTTAATTCTAGGTGATGAATTTATGTGTGATTTTTTTATTCTTCAGAAAATTGAAACAATTCAACAATGTACACGTATTACTCTTTATTTTAATTCTTTTTCTTTGAGAGAGAGTGTGCATAGGTGGGCGAGGGATAGAGGGAGAGAGAACCCCAAGCAGGCTCCACACCTAGCATAGAGCCCAATGTGGGGCCTGATCCCAGGACCCTGAGATCTTGACCTGAGTGGAAATCAAGAGCCAGTTGCCCAACCAACTGAGCCACCCAGGCACCCTATATTACTCTTTTTAAATGCGATAACTTGAATATTACGTTGCTTATAAAATATAGATATAATTTAAAAATTCAAACAGTGCAGAAAAGTGTACAAAAGAAACTAAAGTCACCATTTAGCAGTTATAGGCATGAATATGTGGTAAATAGCTGCCAGGGACCTCGCTCTATGCACATAACAGGATGGACATGTGTGGGATTTTGCATGAATGAGCTCATAGAATACAAGCTGTCTTGTGACCATTTTACCACAAACTGTATCATGGACATCTTTCCCTGTCAGTACAAACTGATTTGTGCTCTTTTAAAGTCTATGTAGTGGGAAGCCCCGGTGGCTCAGCGGTTTAGCGCCGCCTTCAGCCCAGGGCCTGATCCTGGAGACCTGGGATTGAGTCCCACATTGGGCTCCCTGCATGGAGCCTGCTTCTGCCTCTGCCTGTGTCTCTGCCTCTCTCTCTCTGTGTCTCTCATGAATAAATAAATAAAATCTTTAAAATAAAAAAATTAATAGACGTCAACAGAGCAACACTCGGTTGACCTTCCGGCACATCTGTGAAACCAAATAGACTTTTTTTTTTTTTTTTAAGATTTTATCTATTTATTCATGAGAGACACAGAGAGAGAGGCAGAGACACAGGCAGAGGCAGAAGCAGACTCCCTGTGGGGAGTCTGATGTGGGACTCAATCCCGGGACTCTAGGATCATGCCCTGAGCTGAAGGCAGACATGTTCAACCACTGAGCCTGTTGACATCCATTTAAGTTTAACATTTTTGCTCTTGTGATCAGTGCTGATGGATCTTTATAATCAAAAAATTAAAACATTCAAAAATTCCTTGTGGTTTTGGGTTTGGGGATGAAAGTTTTGGCAGGAAACCAGCCCTGCTTGCAGAGGGAACCAGTTTGAGGGCTTGTTGAGGAAGTTCTCGATGCTTGAGGCACGACTGTGTGCTGAAGGGGTGGGAAGGGGTGCAGGTGAGGCCCAAGGGTGGCTATTTCAGGAAAGAATGTTTGGTTCAAGAAAAAAGACCCTCAGGTTGAAAAGAACCTGTCTCAGGTGGAGAGGGCCTCCTCACAGCATCTAGGGTGGGAAACAGCTTGGTCTGGGGTGCTCCTCAGTGGCTCCGTTTCCTTAGAGAGGCCTCAAGGCCCTCTGAGAGATCCTGTTAGAAAAGAGATGAGCAGGGAATGAGTTTTTCCAGGTGCTCCTCAGGATCAGGAGCCAGGCTCAGGGGAAGGGCAGCGAGACTGATGGGTTGAATGAGTTATCAGCTTGTTACCAGTCTGGCCTGCTGGAAATAGCCTGGGCCCTAGGATCAGACGGCCATGTCCGGATCTCTGCTCTGTCTTTGACCAGCTGGTGACTTCTGGAAGACACCTCACCTCTCTGAGGCACAATTTCCTCATCTGTAAGTTGGGTGCTGTAATTACTTTCCAGCCCCTTATGAGGGTGTACACAGAGCCTGGTTTCTGGAGTATGTGAAAACTAAAATATGTGGTTTGTAGTAGATGCAACTCTAGGTCATTGTCTAGGCCAAACACACTTCCTACGTGCTTACAGGAGAGGGACCCTGCTGTTTTTCGAAGTAGCTGGGATTTGGGTTGACCCATGTTGGTAAGTGAGGAAGCTGGGCTGCAGGGGAACATTGTGTGTGTGTGTGTGTGTGTGTGTGTGTGTATGTGCGCGCACGTGTGCGTGTGCCCTTGTGTGCATGTGTGCGCTGGGATGGGGGTAGTTATGTTGTTGCCAAGCACATAAGTGACTGTGACGTGGTGAGAAAGTGGAGGAGGTGGCGTGGATGTGAACACGGAGCTACCACAGGGAGACAGATGAAATGCGGAGGTGACAGCTGGGTCTGGGGCAGGCCTGATTGAGATTTGCTGTGTGTGGCCTAGTGGAAGAACTTTCTGGGGAGTGTAGTAGCTGCCTCCTGGGAGCACCTGCTTTTCCAAGGCTGCACTAGCTCCCTGTGAAGAGAAGTAGCCTGGCAGAGGCAAGTGAGCTTCCCTGGGAGGCTCAGCAGGGGCCAGATGGCCTTAAAGGTGGGGTCCCTGTCCAAAGTGCCCAGGTCAGGGTTTGATAGGGCCAAGGAGGAACATGTGTAACCTTGGAAAGGGGGATGGGCCAGAGGCCAGGGTGTTGTGTGGGGAGGAGCCCCTGCAGTTCAGGGCTGGCCCTAGGATCCAGACAGTGGGCCCCCTCCCCTCCTCGACCCTGCCCTCCTTCCCTGACTTTGTGGTGGGCTCCTGCCTGCAGGCCTCCCTGGCTCCTCTACTTGCGTTCACAGGCCCCTGTGATCTGGACTCTCATTCCCCCAACCCTGCTTCCCCCAGTTCCCAATGCCCAGCCTGTCTCGTCTCTCAGCCCCCAGATACTCTGGGGTGTTCTTTCCTGGAACATCCACCCCATCCCTCTCACTGGGCACATCTGCCTAGTCTTATAGGCCTTAGCTTGAGTCCCACATCCTCAGTCTCCTTAAAATGACCCACCAGACCCTCCAGGCTCTCTTCTGCTCAGAATCTGGACAGCTCCAAGGAGCCTGTGCCACGAGATGACAGCATTGGTGTCTGTAGGGGGTCCTTTCCCAGCACAGGCCATGCTCTTTACTGGTTTAGGCCCCATGCTACCCAGTGAGATAGTCACAGTTTTTATCCTCACCTTATAGATGGGGGGATCCTTTTGAATAGCCTCCATTTGGCTAGTTTCCAAATTCCTCCTTGCATGAATGTCTTGGCTGTCCAATTAGCCTGAGCTCTTTCTGGGCAAAAGCCATGACTTCGGCTCCCACAGCTCTCCCAGCAGCAAGCCTGTGCCTTGTGCATTTCCCTGGCTGGATGTCTGCTGCAAAGATGGGCCTCAGCTTTTTGGGCCTTGACATAGACTTGAGGGCCCCAGGGCTTGGCTGGGAAGCACCCAGCCCCATTGGTGAGACAGGCTGGAGTCTGGTGGAGAGGGAATGTGGAGCTGAGCCCTGGCTTGGTGGCCTGCCCTGGGCATCTCACTACTATCTCACTATTTCATTTTCTTTCCTCCACCAGGGAACTCAATGGCAACAACATCACTCGGATCCACAAAAATGACTTCGTGGGGCTCAAGCAGCTGCGAGTGCTGTGAGTATGGGCTGCGGCCCTACTCATTACCTCCCTCCTGCCCCCTCCCCCCTTGACCATGGCCCTGTGCATCTGAGGCAGAGCCCTAGCTGTGGTTTGTAGAGTCATAGGCCACCATGGGGCCCTCCCTGTGGAGTCAACCTTCGGAGGACCTGAGGGAGGTGGAATGGAAGTCATGGTGAGTCCTGAGCCTGAGCAGCCATGACCTCGTACACGGTTGAAAAATTGGGCGTGGCATAGGCACCAGTGGCTGCTGCCTAGCAGGACCTGGGCTGGACAGATAGGGAGTCTTGTCCTGGAATGAGGGAAGACTGGTCGACCGTGAGGAAGCTTTAGGTCTCTGGCTTAGTCTGCTGGGGCCACCAGCACAAGACCACAGACTGAGTGGCTTAAACACAGAAACTTATTATCTCACAGTTCTTGACGCTAAAAGTCTGTGATCAAGGTGTCATTAGGGTTGTTCCCAGTGAGGCCTTTCTTCTTGGCCACCTTCTTGCTGTGTCTTCACATGGCCTTTCCTCTGTGTATGCATAGAAAGAAGTCTCTATGTCTTTTCCTCTTCTTATAAGGATACCAGTCCTATCAGATTAGGGCCCTACCCTTTTGACCTCATTAAATTTTGATTACCTCCCTACAGGCTCTGTCTCCAAATCACATTGGGGGTTAGGGCTTCAGTGTGTGAATTTTGAGGGGATGCATTTCAGTCTATAACAGTCTCCATAGTTCTTTGGATGCTGTGCCTCAGAAAGACTCCCCAGCGAGGCCACAACTACCCTGACTCACCCATAGGTGAATGGGGACAGTTGAGGACAGAGGTGGCTGTCCTCAGGTGCCTGACAGTAGCAGATATTGGAGGTGGCAGGTGTGGGCTCTTTTGGGGTTGACCACTAGGCACCAAAGGAGCCACCTGCAGCATTTCCCTTGTCAAACTGGGCAGGGGTGAAGAGTGAGGAGGGGAAGGAATGGATCCCTTCATCTCTTCCTGGTCTGTGGCCCTCAGACACATGCATACATTCTGACACATTCAACATCAGACAATCATAGGGTCCTCACTCCCTACTTCCAGAGTAGTGCAAGGGTCCTTGGGCTGTAGTTCTTTCAGAACTACTTTGCTGCTTTGAGAATCTTTGGTGGGGCTGGGGACTCTCTATCTTCTCTGGGGTCATAGCTGTCAGTCACTAGGCAGGGGTCTCTGCTGCTCTAGAACCCACTGACCTTTAACTCCTTCCCAAGCTCCAGGAATCTCTTCTGAATCTGGGAAAACCCTCCCTCCCTCCTGGCATCTCTCACCCACCCTATCCTCCAACATGAGTTCCTTAACAGCTCAGGCTTTTGGAAACAAGGTGGAAGAAGAAAAGTGTGTGGTTGAAGTTTCTGCCCCCTGCACTACCCCAGACCTCCTCTGAGGTCCACGTGGGACCTCAAGCCACCTGCTTAAGAATGGACAGGGGAGAATGAGGGGAGAAAAATACACTTGACCATCTCAAAAATTACCACACAACAAGCAAACTGCTTGCCAGCCGGACGTTCTGGGTTGTAGGGAGCATTGGTGGTGAGGAGGTATAGTCTATGGAGCCAGGTGGTTGAGTTGGCAGCAGATGGGGCCAGGCGGTGTAGGGGTGCAGGCAGAGGGGGTGTTGTCTGCCAACTGCAGAGTGTGTTTGCTGCATGTGTGGGCTTTGCCCAGTTGGCACAGACTCCCCTCCCCCTGTTACCGACCCATCCTCCTGCTCTGCCCCTTGGACATGGGCGGAAGGAGGGCACGGGTGCCAGCAGCCTGGAGTTGGCCCCTGCTCCCTGGGTCCCAGTTCCTGGAACATGGAGCGGTGGCCTGGTGTTCTGGTGTGCTGTGGCCACGGTGGCTGCAGAGAGGTCTGCGTGGGCTCAGGGGCTGGAAGTACATCTTGCCGTCAGGGCTGGGTATGCTGAGGATATCTGTTGGGTTTGTGGGGCAGTTTTGTCAGCTCAGGCCAAGACCCGGGTCTGTGCATGTCTCGGGCCTTGCTCCTGCTTCACTGCCTTGCACCAGATGTTGCTGATAGTCCTTGTCCAGCATCCTGGAGCTGTCTTTGTCTCTGCTTCCTCAGGCAGCTGATGGAGAACCAGATTGGAGTGGTGGAACGGGGGGCTTTTGACGACATGAAGGAGCTGGAGCGGCTGTGAGTATCTGTGGGTGTGGGCTCAGGGCGGAGGGGCCGTGCTGAAGGGATGCAACAGTTGAGCCTGGCAGCAAGGGCAATGTGCAGGGAGGGAACCGCATGCCCCACCTGCCTCCCACCTGCTGCTGGGAGCCAGGGGCAGCCACAGCCATGGAAGTAGTCACAGCATCATCACGAGGTGACGGCGAGGACAATGCAACTAAATGCAACTCTCTTTGTTGTTTTTGTCTGATAATACATTATGGCAAAAAATCCATGCAGTACAGAGGAAGTGAAATTCCTTCCTATAATCTTATATGCTGGGTGTGACCACTGTCCACACTACTGTTTGTGTGGCAGTAAGGAAGAATTTGTGTGCCAAGGGGACTGTCAGGAAAGACCCAGTGGCCACCTGTGAAGCTGTGTCTTGGGTGTTCAGTGCTACAGTACAGAAGCTAGAAGGTGGAGATGTTTCTGATTTACATGGTTTGCTCCATACAGGGCTTTTGCATTTGAAAATGGGTCTTGATCAAGTTTTGCATTTCAGATTGGCAATAATGAGAAAAAAAGGGAATGTGGTATGAGTGAGGTGAGGGGTCACACATTCACGGGGGTCACTGGTTTCACTGTTTTGCTTTGGTTTGGCTGTCAAAAGGTGCCAAGAGTCCTTGAGTTTGTATGCTTTGAACCAGAAAGTCCATTTTACTTTAAGGAAGGAATCAGAGACGTGGCTAAAAATTAATATATCAGGATTTTCTATGCACATTATTTAAATACAACAACCAAAAAAATGGAGAAAGCCATTCTTGTGGAGACACAGGGTATCAAGTCACATTTTTGAAGAATAGTTAAGGCCATTAGAATGTTCTCACAATATAATATTACATGGAAAGGGCAGGAAATGACATATTTAAATCACATCAACTTATATGTATATAGAATACAGGAGGAGAGATAATTGGGAAGATTAATTTTCATTAATTGAGTGGTGGGATATCAGGTAACTTTAATTCTACTCTTTGCGCTCATGTTTTTTATGGATTTTTTACAGTGAGTTTATAAGTATGATTATAGCTACTACTGATTGCCTTACTCTATGCCAGGCACCAAGATAAGCTCTTTGCCCTACAATATCTCATTTAATCCTGAAAACAACACTGTTCAGTGGTATCTTAAAGATGAGAAACTGAAGTGCTTGGAAGTTAAGGCACTTGTGTTATTAAGTGATTAAGTACAGAAGAGGGAATTAGAACCCAGATCATTTTGCCTCCAAAGCCTGAGATCTTGATGACTATGACCTAATACCTCACTATTCTCTTTTACTTCAAAGGAAGTAAGATATAAAATAAAGGGAGGAGAATATGGGTATCTCCTTGCCTTCCTGCTGCCTGGAAGAAAATCAAGTGGTCTTTCTTTTGAGTTCTTCATCCAGGCCTAAAAGTGAGCCATAAGGAGCCTGCAGCTAGAACAGATGATTAGTGCTGTGTTTGTTTTCTTTCAAAGGCTCCGAACAAAGTACATATTCCTGACCTGGCTGTGAGGGCCTGATTGGGACTGAATCCCCCCTGCAGCTCTAGCCTTGGTGCTGCCATGCCCTGCAGGAGGAGTAGGAGTGGGCAGGGCCTTCCTTGTTGAGTCAGGACTTGCCCCTGTAGATTTTGTCCTTTCAGTTCCTTTCTTCTGGGGCAGGTTTTCTCCCCAGCAAGTTCATAGCAGGTGGTTCTTCTTGGGGTTTGTGACTGCCATGTCCCTGAGGGTGTCAAGTGCTTACTGCAGATGGCTGGCACCCTCTCCAGTGGTAGATCTGTTAATCGTAAAAGTTGGGTAAAGCAGGCAGTCATAAAAACCACACATACTCTAGAAACATTCCATTTTAAGCTCAAACATGTAAGTGTGCGTTTATTGACCCTTTTCCCCCACCTTTTTTTGCTAAGTCTTTTCTTCTTAGTATGAGACTGGAGTTCTATATTGTTTTCCTTGCCTCCACTTCATACAAATTACTTGCTTATGATTTTTGGTTTTGGTTTCTTTAAGGTGAAGTGAGGTGTTTAAAAGGCCCTTAGAGGGGCACCTGGGTAGCTCAGCTATTGAGCATCTGCCTTTGGCTCAGGGCATGATCCCAGGGTTCAGGATCGAGTCCCAAATCGGGCTCCTGCAGAGAGCCTGCTTCTCCCTCTGCCTATGTCTCTGCCTTTCTCTGTTGCTCATGAGTAAATAAATAAAATCTTAAAAAAAAAAAGGCTCTTAGAAGCAATTTGGGTGAAGAATTCTGAGTTGCTTCTTTTTTTTTTTTTGAGATTTTATTTATTTTTAAAAATATTTTATTTATTTGAGAGAGAGAGAGAGAGAGGGAGTGAGAGAGCACAGAGGGGCAGTGAGAGGGAGAAGCAGACTCTCTGCTAAGCAGAGACCCAGGACCCCAGGATCGTTACCTGAGCCAATGGCAGATGCTTAACCGACTGAGCCACCTGGGCAACCCCTGAGTTTCTTTGTGACCCTCCTCCTGCCCCTGACCCAGTTTTTTATTTAATTCAACAGCTCTTCAATGAACAACTTTTGGTTTATTGACTTTCTCCAAAGAGTCCAATTTAATTTTCACAGAGATGGCCTCTTCACATAACCATAAGCACCTCTGGTGTAGAGAGCTTTGGGAACCAGAGGTACCTGGCTCTTGTAAGTGGTTACTGCAGACTCAAGTACAGAAGTGGAAGTGTGCAAGCCCTCTGGCCATGAGGGTCAGTGTGCCCTGGGCACAGAGGGAGAGTGGGATGCTCAGCCACCCTATGCCGGCTGTGGGGCGGTTGGTGTGTAATGTGGGGGAGAAGCTGTCTCCAGAACCTGGCTCTAGTACTTGGCGGTCATGAGGGTGAGTCACTCACCTCTTGACATCCCAGTTCCTTCAACTGTCACAGAGACAGCTCAGTAGAGTCCATGAACATTCAGAGCACATATAAGAGCCAAGCCATGTGGCAAGATGGTAGCAGTAAAACTTGCCCTCAGTGTTCTTGCAAGGAAGAGATAGGAGGGTCTGTGCCTGAATGGAAGCCGTTGTTGTCATACTCAAAAAACAAAACAAAACAAAACTGTACCTGTGCATTCTGCTTTCCCTCTGATGGTAAGATAATGTCTCCAAAACACTTGTCCCAGTGCCTGGCACATGGGGAGGGCCAATGGGGACTGGTGACCACTACCACTGTCACTGTTCTAGCTACCATGCTCCTTCACCATGCTGGGCCCTCCTTCAGTGTCCTTTGGTTTTCTCCTTTAAACTGGCTGTTGAGGGATCCCTGGGTGGTGCAGCGGTTTGGCGCCTGCCTTTGGCCCAGGGCGCGATCCTGGAGACCCGGGATCGAATCCCACATCGGGCTCCCGGTGCATGGAGCCTGCTTCTCCCTCTGCCTGTGTCTCTGCCTCTCTCTCTCTCTCTGTGACTATCAGAAATAAATAAAAAAATAAAATTAAAAAAAATAAACTGGCTGTTGAATTTTTTTTTCCTCTTCAGTGTTTTCAGAAGTTGAAGCTGGAAAAATGAGAAAGTCTTGGGGGAAAACAAAACAAAACAAAAACCAGTGATTACCCGGCAGTGTAAATACAAGATTAATTTATTGGACAAGGTTAAGGAACTTGGGGTGATCTGATGTCCACTCCTGTTGCTTTAAGGATTATATTGGTGGTCCCTTTTTTCCCAAGGCAATGATGTGTTTCCCTAGGAGCCTGCCCTTTTGACTGAACTTATTCCAGCTGGTCTACTTGTCTGTGCCATGCTGGAAAATGGTGCCTTTCTCATGTAGAGAACATGAGATACATCTCATGTATCAGATGAAGGGTGACCTCCTAGGAGGTAACCACAGACCAGTTACTATTGGCCACAGACAACTTCATTACTTCCTCCCCCCCACCCCCTGGCACTTACCCAGCAACAGAAAGCTTTTGCTGAGTTGGTTTATCATCATCTGGCACTGTTAAAGGAGATGGTTGTATGAGATCCAAACTGTGCTGTAGTCTGGAGGGCAGGGGGTTGGATTTTACTCTGTTGCTTCTCTAGCCTTGACATGCACTTGGGGATCTTGCTGAAATGCAAAATCTGAGTCAACAGATCTGAGGTAGAGGCTGGGATATTGTGGCTCTTATCAACTCCCAGGTGAAGCACTTGCAGATTCAAATGGGTGCTTGTGTACCAAGGTTCCATACTTGTAGGTGTCACACCCTGGATGGGCTGGAGTCCTGTACTGCAGTGACAGAGAAGTAGTTGCTGATGGTGGCAAAATGAGTCTGGTTAGGTGTCATGGCTTTCCTAGAACACATCTGGGTTCTTTATAAATTATATCCTCTTGTCCAGGCCACATCCAGAACCAGACTTACTACTCCTGCCTGTGTTTATAAAACTGAAAAGTTGTTCTGTCCACCAGTAGAGCAATTAGAAATGATGGACATACTAGTCAGTCACTAAAAGTAAAAGAGTTATTCTCTACTGTTTGGCATGGGGAGACATCCACAAATTGTTGAGTAAGGAAAATGCACGTGGCCCAATACTTTTTCTTTTGTTATTTAAGGTTTTTAAGGAATTAAGTATGTGTTTTCATAGATAATAAAAAAATCAATAAAGTTATTTTCATTTTGAAAAAAGACCTAAAGCAAATAATAAAAGAGAACTAAGTTGCCACTGAGTCAAATGTGGATGAAAGCAGTGAGGAATCAGAACCAGGGGGCTGGTCCTACCCATTAGGGTGTATCTCATATTTCAAATATAGTCAGGTGTTCAACCCACAAGCCAAGATAATATTTCAATCAGTGCCTTATGAATTACAATGGGTCTTGCAAATGTAACATGATGATGGCGATAAGCATTAGGAGGAGACCAATTTAAGGCGTTTACTGCCTATCAGCTTCTTGGCCAGGAGCTTCCACAAGTAATCTGTGCTTGTCCTCCCCAAGTGTTGGATGGTGAACTCCCACTTTATAGAAACTGAACCCCAGAGAAGGTCATTTCCCTGGGGTTACACAATGACCTTTTTAGGATTTGAACCCTGTGCCCCTATTGGTCCAAACCCAAGGAGTTCTGAAGAGTTTTTTGATTTCCTGGACACTGAGGTACCTTCCAACTCTTCCTTTCTTCTTTCTTTTTTAGACGACTGAACCGGAACCAGCTCCACACGTTGCCAGAACTGCTGTTCCAGAATAACCAGGCTCTTTCGAGACTGTGAGTGACACTGTGGCCAAGGCTCTGTGTGTGGTCTTGTCCCTCACCCTGTGGGAGGGGCGGTGTCTGGTCAGAGTGCCCATGACCTCCTGCTCCTCACCCATCAGGAATCGTGCCAGGCATCAAAGGCCAGGCCCTTTCTCTGGAAGGTGCTGTGCAGTGTGTTTCTCTGTGGTTGTACCTGCCGGAATCCACTACTCATTCAGTGCTGTGTGTTGCCCCTGACAGTGCGGGTGTGAGAATGTTCTGGGGCGGGGGGCAGGGGGAGGCATTCTTGTCAGCCATGATGCCAGGCTTTCCAGGGTTGAATATTTATTCATTCAGTGAAACCCTTCTTGGACCTATTTCTGTTTTCAGATTGGAGTAATGAAGTCTGGAAGCTTATCCACCATAGCATAAGTTCGTACTTTTATTTGCTGTCAGCATACTTCTTTCAAACTTAAAGGGTAGTGGTTAATTCTGCTGCTCTATGATTTGCTAAATGTGGCTATAATTGTTTTACCATCTATTTCATTTTGTGGGATCTTGGGTTGGACAGGATCTCTAGATCTGCAGAGGAATCTCCTCTGCAGTTCCTTAGCCTGTGGTCCTTCAGTCTTTGCTTGGCTACTTCTAATGATGGAGAGGGAGTTCATTACCTCCCCAGACAGTCAGTTGCATTATTGGACAGATCTGCATATTAGAAACATTTTCTAATTAGATTTGAGCCCTAAATCTGTTTCTCAACAATTTATGTTTTTTTAGCTTTGCTTTCTGTAAATATCTAGAACAACTATGTACTCTTGTTAGATTAAAAAAAAAGATTGATTTATTTATTCCAGAGAGAAAGAGTGAGCACACAAGTGGGGGGAGGGGCAGTGGGAGAGGGAGAGAGAATCCCAAGCAGACTCCACGCCGGGACATGGTTTTACTGCTGAGGAAAGTCAAGACAAAAGTCAAGGTTGGAGAGGTGAAGTGGCCTCCTCGGGGTCAGTAGTGAAGCCCCTGTTGGACTCCCCACCCAGTGCTCTTCATGGCTTCATATTTTACTGGAGAAAAGTGGTTCTATGCTTCAACAAATATTAGATAACTGGATTTTATATCTAAAGCGTGGCACAAGGAACTCCATTCAAAGAGTGGAAAAGCCATTGAAGAGGACAGAAGTCGGCTTGACTCCTGGGCTGGGAACCAGGGGAGGCAGTGGCCTTTAGAACCACTGGATGTCCTCACCCCTGTGGCCTGGGGTTGTCTTGGGGAGGGGGCCAGTCACCACTGAACAGAGGGACTTCCAGGATAAAGGCCTGCCTGATAGAAGGCTTAGTGGTTCTTTGGGGCATATTTTCAGGCTCTAGAGCCAGAACCTTTCCCCTGTGCCTATTGTTTTTTCTCTTTAGGCAATTGGTCTCTAACTCTTGGCAGGAGATGTTTCTTATCTAGGAGCATAGCCGGACCTGGTGGAGGGAAACTATTTTCTCTAGCTCTGCTGTTAATATGTCTTTTTTTTTTTTTTTTTTTTTTTTTTTTGCTGTTAATATGTCTTAAGCTCATCTGTAAGCACCAGTGTGCCAGCCAGCAGGACTTTGGGGAGGACTCCTGTGCAGTGTCCCTGCTTACGTCAGGCTGGGACTTGAGTTCATGACTGGGCCCAACCTGGTTCAGGGCAACCTGGCACCCCTCCAGTGCAGGCCATCTCAAAAGAGCACATCCTGGGGGAAATGGTTACACAAACCCTTTTACTGATCTAGTTATTTGTCCCTGGTGTCTGGCTCACTGAGTTTTTTTTTTGTTTTGTTTTTGTTTTTACCTTTGTCATTGTTATAGGGAAGGATGGAGGAGCAAGTGCTTAAAGATTTATTTGCTAATATTCTTTGTCCTACCTCCACCCTCAATCTATTGACTTGAGCATCTGGCATTGCCAGGCATCTCTGTTAACTCTCCCAGTCCACTTGGTCTGGCTGGGGAACACTTGGGCACTTCCAGTTCCAAAAGCAAAAACCCCTGCAGGCTGGTGATGTCAAGGGTGATCAGGTATTGTAAGGGAACAACCAGAAGACTTATAGGTTTCTTAGGACAGGAAGTGAAATATTGCTGGGACCAGACTGAGACGTGAAGGTTCTTTCTGAGTATCTTTTTTTTTTTTTTAATTTATGATAGGCACACAGTGAGAGAGAGAGAGGGGCAGAGACACAGGCAGAGGGAGAAGCAGGCTCCATGCACCAGGAGCCCGAGTGGGATTCGATCCCGGGTCTCCAGGATCGCGCCCTGGGCCAAAGGCAGGCGCTAAACTGCTGCGCCACCCAGGGATCCCTCTTTCTGAATATCTAATTATTGTCCTGCTGCTCCCTGCAGACCAGTGTCCTGGGCTTATGGGCAACATCTCATTTCCGCCATGATTTTGGTTAGCCTAAATGCATACTCCCCTCCTCCTTCCTGTGACCTTAGAGTTAATCCCCATGTCTCAGATCTCAACCCCAGATTTCTGAGGAAAGAATCTGATTGGTTCATCTTTGGTCACGCAGTCATTCCTGGGCTGTGTTGGGGGTTTGTGGGACTGCCTGGTGCAAACTTAATAGGGAGCCCACTCCTCCTCCAGGAACTAGAGGGGGACTACATTTGCTTTGGAGGCAGGGTAAGAGGGGAGACAGGGCCTGGTGCTTCTGGTCTCTCACCTGTTGACCTCCTCTCTGCTTTGAGGGAATCCGTTGCTAATCCTTTCCACCTGGAGCAAATCATGGACTTTCAGCAGAGACCGTTATGCTAAATCAGCATGAAACAGGTTTGAGAGAGACCAAATGCGCCGGTAAGGTATGGTCACAGAATGTGTCAGGTGGTGCAGTCCATATTTAGGCTGACTTTGTGTGTGTGGCTGCCAGATGTTAAAATCCTGTTACTGGCCATTCTGCAGTTGTATTTCTGCAGAAATACGTGTTGGGTTTATCTGTCCATTTCATTCTCCTTGTGGTACCTGAGGCCTAGAGAAGTGACTTGCCTTGGACCACAGAGCAGTTTGGTGATAGGGTTGGAATTAGATACCAGGCCTTCCAGAGTCCTGAAATCTCACATTTGGGGATCTAGCCTAAGGGAATAATAAAACGCAAGCACAAACCTGTTCACTGCAGCATTATTTAGATTTTTGAAATATAAAATATTCCTATTTTGATATATAGAATATGCCTATATTGAAATATAGAATATTGATTATAGAAATATATGTCCAGCTTTAGGGGAACAGTTAAGTAAATTATGGTATATCTGCTTGATTAAATACTTATATCATCATCAAATGTGTGGTCTTTATGGAAGATGTAAAGTAATGCAGATAAATATTTGTGTTATCGAAAGCCAGGATAGGATGCAAAATTGTACTGACAATATAATCACTAAATAAATCACTCTAAAGAAGGCATGGAAAAGACTGTGAAATGCCAACAGGGGTTGTCTCTGGGTGACTTGTTTCTTTTCTGTGTTTCCCAGATGTTCTGTAAAAAGCATGTGTGATTTTTATGGTAGGAGACCTCCCAGCTTTTACAAGTGCTGGAAAGCCTCTGTGGTTGGGGTTACAGTAAGTGCTAGCTAGGTGACATTGGAGGCCTTCCTCTAGCCCCGTGGAGCCCTGTTTTGGTCTTCTATCAGATAAAGAAAATTTTGGCTACCTCACAGGCTGTTGCAGGGATTTGAGGAAGTTGTAACCCACTCCCCTCGCAGGTGTAGACTCTGTGGCCTGTAGTATATGCTCAGGAAATGTTAGGTGAATCCACATGAGAATTGCTTTGGAGGCGGCACTACAGCCTCCAAGCTGACCCTGTACTGGAGCATTTTGTCCACTGCTGGTGGTTCATCTGTACCTTTTATTTTTTTTAAGATTTTAATTTATTTTTTGAGAGAGCTAAAGAGAGTGAGCATAAGCATGAGTGGGGCAGGGACAGAGGGAGAAGCAGGCTCCCCACTGACCAAGGAGCCCGATGCAGGGTTTGATCCCAGGACCCCAGGATCATGACTTGAGCTAAAGGCAGATTCTTTTTTTTTTTTAATGTTAATTTTTTTTTTATGATAGTCACACACACACACACACACACACACACAGAGAGAGAGAGAGAGAGAGAGAGAGAGAGAGAGGCAGAGACACAGGCAGAGGGAGAAGCAGGCTCCATGCACCGGGAGCCCGACGTGGGATTCGATCCCGGGTCTCCAGGATCGCGCCCTGGGCCAAAGGCAGGCGCTAAACCGCTGTGCCACCCAGGGATCCCCTAAAGGCAGATTCTTAACTGACTGAGCCACTCAGTGCCCCATTCAAGTCTGTCTTAATGTAGAACCACCCCCTTGATTGGCAAGGACCTCCCGCAACAGGTTTAAACTTTTTCTTTTCACGAGACGCTGTTTCTCATGAGGTGCACCTTGCAGAGGTACCCTAAGGGCTATCGAGGGAGGCTAGTGTGCTCACCAGCAGCAGGCTCTGCAGATAGCCACTTGAATGTGGCCTGGGACAGTCATTGCACAGGCTCGGGAGTTAATCTGCCTTTTGTACTCTTGGGTACTTTCCTGGGCAAGCATGGGGCAAGTAGATGAAGTCACCTCAGAAATATTTCTTAGGGCCCTGGAGTTACCTGTGTGTTCCTTGCTTCCTTGGAGATGCCTCCATTGAGGGTGAGCCCCGAGTTCCTGCTCAGCACCCTCACTCCATCACCTCTTTAGAAGAGAGCGCCTGCCCACCTCTTGTCTGCAGGTGGAGGGAGTCAGGGCTCCTGCAGAACTGTGCCTATCCTGTGATGTTCTCTTACTGCCTGGGTCTCCCAGGACTGCCACGAAAGCTCTTTGGAACCACAGTTACAGTAATGATTAGAACAAGTGGAAGGTCATTCTGTGCCAGGCTCATGAGAGACAACCTACAAACATTATCTGATTTCATCATCAGACCTCTCTGAGGTCAGCATTTTCCCCATTTTACAGATGAAGACATGCCAGCTCAGAGGGTTTGTGATATGCCTAAGGCGCTAAGCCAAATTTGAACCCTGGTCTCTCTG